CCCGGAGCTTTAAAGGCAGCGAGGGCGCTGCCTGCTCGCGGGGTGGCGGGGCGCGGGGCTACGGGGCTGCGGCATCTCCTCCGCCCTGGCTCGGCGAGGTGGTGCCTCCTCTGCGCCCCGTTTATAGCAGCCTGGGAGTGGGGCGCCCCCTGAGGTCACCGCCATGGTCCCCTCCCATCAGTGCGCAGCCACGGCCGCGCTGCTCCTGGTCCCAAAGGAGATGCAGCCTGCTGTGCACATCAGGGCTCTGCCCCCACGCAGGGAGGGCGGGGCCCTGGGACCCGAGCGATCCCAGCCTCTGGTGCGCGCCTGTTCCCCGGGGAATCTCCCCACTCCGCCTCGCTCTAGCCGCCTCGGCGTCGGCTGCAGGGGGCGCTGCTCCCCTCCGACGCCCGGCCCTCTTCTCTGCCAGGCGCACAGGGTGGGTAGCCTGTCAACAAATGCGTCTCGATGCAGACTTTCCAGTTCCGCGCTGGGGAGAGGGTCGCCAGGCTGTATCTTCCAGGAAAGCCTAGCCCAAAGGTCCAAGCTTCGGGGACGGGAGACAGGAATAAAGGCCAGTGGAGTATGTCTAGAGGGTTACCCAAAGAGTAGTCTGCTGTCCAGGTCGCTGGGTCTGGCTGTCCCACTCCTCTGCTATCACCTCTAGACCCTGTCCCCGGGTGACCTGCTCCTCTTCCACAGGTCAAAACCAAGGGCTCGTCCTCTCCAAACTGCCTCTCCACTCTGCAGGTCCCTCTCCAAGGCCGATGGTAACCTCAGTGTTTAGACATCTCCATGCAGGAGGGCATGTTACCTTGGACAGCTGGACTGTCCTCTCCCCAAAGCTGAGGAGTCCAGTCCCAAGTCTCTCTGACTGGACCAAATCACTGCCAGAGGGCTTCCTGCTGGGGGAGCTTTGGAAACCCTGATGCAGGGGATCAGAGGCTGGGACGCTGTGGGAGGAAAGTGGACTGGGGGCACTACCCTCCCTCCTAGGGCAGTGCCTGGGAGCCTGCACAGGGACCCAAGCCGTAGGAATGCCTTGACCTCAGTTCACTTTCCCTAACCCTGTGTAATGGCCCTCCAGGAACTCTTCCTCCAGAAGCATCCCCATATGTCTACATGGCTGGCTCTACTCACTTGGAATGTTCCCACTCACACATCAAGCCCAGGGAGTCAGGCCTGGCCACACATAAAGACCCCCACCAAATAAGGGAATTGGGAGCTATGTTCAGAGCCTTCCTGCTATTTCCATCTTGCAAGAGGGGTTCCCTCTGCAGAAGCCTCCTCACCTTCGGCCTGACCTGGAGACAGGAAGGCCACAGAGGAGAGAAAAGATGAAGCTTCAAGCCTTGCCCATGTCCACTGCCCCATACCCAGGGAAGCCATGGGTGCCTCTGCCAGGCATTCAGTCAAGCTGTGAAGTAGGCAGCCACAGCCACAGCCACAGCCTACCCACAGGGACCTCTCTGTCTAAGGGTGGATGATGGCTTAAACAAATAGTATAGACCAGCAAACCTTATCAGCTTGAGCATAAAACCAGACAGGGGTCCTGATGAGACTCAGAGGGTGGATGAGGGCCAGTGAGGTGAGAAGGAATAGCATGTGCCAAAGTCCTGGGACTGAAGGAGCCTAGCAAGGACTTGGGAGGACAAGATGGCCAAGCTGGGTGGGTGGGAAGATTGCAGTCCTCCTGTTGACCCCAATGGGAGCCCATAGAGCTGAGCTGGGCTGGGCCACACAGTGATGATCCCTGACTGCAGGCAGGGAGGGGTGCAGGGGGGAAGTCAGGGTAATGCCATGGTGCTGGCCAGAGGCACTGGTGTCTAGGTTAGTGCCTACCAGTGCAGGGGCTCTGGAAGGGGAGTTCCAGCATGAGATGGAACTCAGTAATGACCCCACAGCCCTCCCTGCACACCTCCCGGTTTCCTGCTGTCAGCCAGCTGTAGGCAGACAGGCCAGCAGGCAGTGCTGCAGTGGGCTCCTGTGTGGCTCCTGTCTCAGCCTGGGCTCCCCTGCTCAGAGCTATGAGTGCAGTGGCCCAGTGAGGGATCCTCACACCAGCTCAAGATACAGGGCTCACCCTGTAGGTACACAGACTCCCTGTCCACTGGCCTGTTTTTGGAAGCAGGGAGATGTGGGTCTGCCCTCCCCAGCCTCCATCCAGGCCCTTTGGGAGTGAGACCTGGGTCCCTTTGACCAGGACAGCTGGTGAGCCTCACCTGCCACGCACAGGCATCCTCCCCACAGTGGTGACCTTCTCCAGCCTTCTAGAAGTCACAGCCTGACCCAGTGGTGCCCAGGAAGACTGAAGGTATAGAAGGAGGCCACCTGCATTGAGAGGGGCTCTCCCTTGGAAAGTCTCCTCTTCATTGGCCCCCACACACACCCCTGCATGGATTTCTGCAGCCCTCATGCAGACCTGCCAGGGGCAGCTGGACACGCATGTGGAAAACCATTAAGCCATAGGCTTGCGCTCATGCTCCCCTAGTGTAGCCAGGAACTCTGGATCCCTGGCCTGACAGTGAGGTCAGCTGCTCTGCCTCTTCAGGAAGGCCTCCATCACCTACTGGGCAGGACACCACTTGGTTTCCTGTCTGGTGGCACCTCTCCAGGCTCCCTAACACAAGGGAGCTGGGCATGCTCTGGGTACTGAGTGTGGACTGAACAGACACAGACAAGGGCTGCAGGACCAGGCTGAGGATGAAGCAGCCTAGAGTTTGGACAGAGCTGGCTGGGCTCAAGAGTGAGCTGTGCTTCCGCCCATGTCCTGTGGTGCTAAATATAGCAGCCAGGGAGGGGGTTTCCGGTTACAGCCCCCCCACCCAGCCGGGAAATCGATGCCAGCTCCATTAGGCCTGGCAGTGGTGCCTGCTGATGTGCCCGTCAGGCTGCAGAGCAGAGTGAAGGCTGAACTTTACCGAAGCCCAAGTGTCCTGTCCCCTTCCCCCACTCTCCAGGCCCCCAGAGTCCTCCCCAGGATGCTTCAGTGCCACCTCCCCCCACCCAGTGCCCACCAGAGGCCACTCTGAGGCAGCAAGCTCCTGAGGGCCACAGGACTGCTGTGGTGGGCATGGGCATTGGGCAGCTGCAGAAAGTAGGGCAGGGGCAGCATAGACTCCTGTCCTGGGAACATCCCTCCGGGAGCCTCTCTGGGCAAGGTGAAGCTGGGTTGCCTGCAACCCCCTGCAGTCAGCTCCGGGACACAAGCACACACCTAAGGACCCCTCCTTGGATGCTGGGTTGTTGCTTGACCAGACCTCACCCAAGTTGCTGCAAACATTTGCATACAGGTGGCGCTGCCTGAGCGGTCCCAGTGGCACAGCCTTCTCAGGGTGCCTCAATGTCACGCCCATCTGAGGCATTGGCAATAGACTGAACCAGATGCCCCTCAGCCTCAAGCTCAGTGGGGTGCTATTAAAACAAACTATGCAAGAAGGCTGGGCGTGGTGGTGCACACCTTTAATCCCAGCACTCAGAAGGCAGAGGCAAGGGGATCTCTGAAATTAAGGCCAGCCTGGTCTACATAGCAAATTCTGGGCCAGCTGTGGCTACAGGAAGATGCTCTCAGAAAAAAAAACAGGGAGTACTCCACCTACCTTAGCTTGTCTGCCCCAACGTCCACCATTAGGACTCCAACACATGACCTACAGGCCTGATCCAAGGAGATACTGGGGCACAGAGCACCAGGCCATGGTCACAGAAAAAGCTCCTCATCGCCTAAGCTCCCCTGTCCCCACTTGCCTAAATGGAAGCCTCCTGGACACTTTACTGCCTAGTGTGGGGAATGTGTCAGTGGGCCATGACCCTGGTTGCTGACCCCCAGGGCATCATTTAAGATGCTGACTGGAGGGTTTGAAGCTCTAAGGAAGGACAGGGCTGGGCCACTACCCTGAACCCTGACCTCACCACCAGAGAGATGACCCAACAGTGCCCTCAGGTGTTGCCCCAGTACACCTGTCACATAGGGGCCCTGAATATGTGCCTATGATGTATGCAATGGGCTGAGTGTGGCAGTATGCCTTCTTTTCCATATTAGGCACTCTGGGGACCCAGAGGACAGCTCTGAGTTGTGTGTATGCATCTCAGCCTCAGGCCAGAGAGCAAGGCCAGCAGCATGCAGGTCAATAGTACTATGAGCTATGCCAGTCACTATCTGTAGGCTGACAGCTCCCTGTGCTAGGTGCTAGGTCAGATGGAAGCAGTTCTGTGCAAGGCCCAGGCTGCCCACACCAAGATGACTGCCCTGGATTCACTATCATGGCTAGGTATACAAATATTCCCTGTGTCCTACAGGCCAAGTGAGGTCCCCTCCCTACCACCCATTGCCCAGCAGGTATGGGAGTGGGGGTACTGGGGACACCAGATACAGAACATCCCTAGCTCTGAGCTCCTGGAGAGCTCTAGCCCAGCCCCAGGCAGGCCAAGGAGCACACACCTGCTCAGGTCAGGAAGCACACTCTCACTCTCTAGAGTGGATAGTGCTGTGCTGTCCCTTTACTTCATTCAGGCCAGGCTTGGTTTCTGCTCCTGTAGATACAGCTCATATGTGCACAGTAGTGGCCCCAACCAAACCCAGGCACCTAGCCTGGTCTCCACCTGAGCTGGCTACCTACCCCACCCAACAGTACCCCTGGCTTATTCCCAGCCCACTGCTAGCCATCTGCTCCCCAGAGCATCCACATGTACACCCTGAGTGGGAGGAGCAGAGGAGTTTTCAAGGAGACCCTGCCATCACCCCTCCCCCCCCAAGACACTGTCCCTACCCTAAGTCACAGAGTTCAGAGCCAGTGGCAATTGGTGAAAGCTATAAAGCTTTATTGAGTCTGTAGGGTAGGAGAACACATAGCCAGGATTGGTCTGTCCAGCCCCAGTCTTACTGGAGACCCAAGTGGGGAGCCACCTGGGTAAAGAACCAGGAGATAGCAAAGATCACGCCAAGGGTCTTGGGGATGTTGGGATTGTCTGCAAAGGCCTGGGCATCATCCAGAGTCAGGTGCAACACCTCGATGAGCTCACCCTCTTCCTGTAGGCCACCACCAGGCCCGCTTCGCTGGGCATCCGTTACCTCTGCATAGAACATGGTCTGCCTGGATCCAGAGAGTCCTACTCCAGATCTGTGGGGTAGGATGGCCTGCTGAGACACCATGGTCCCTGACAGCCACCTGTTCCTTCCATATTGGGCCCCCTGGTAGCTAGAACTCTGAGTGGCCCACCCCTCCCAAATCCCAACCCTGGTACATCTATGTAATCTTGCCCCCCAGCGTGGGGGACCTGATGCATGTTGGGCATGCCTTCTGTACCTAAGCTCTGTCATCAAGCAGAGGTAGGGTCTCATACCAATTAGGAAGGGGACAAAGTGGGGCACTAAAATGATTTTTAAGATTAATTTGATAACTGACATTTCAAAGAAAGTATTCAGAGAAAACAGAAATGTCAGAGACTTCCAACATATATTATGGACTCAGGACCTTGCCCCACTACCTAAGTCCATCCCAATGGAGCCATCCAGGGTGGGCCTGGCCTAATCAGGTGAGCTGCCAAAACAGAGCTTTACCCTCAGAGATTGAGGAAGTCTGAGACACTACCCACTGGCACAGAGGACAGACCAAGCTGCTATGTTGTAAGGGGACACACATGGCAGGGGCCTGCAGGCAGCAGCAAGATAGGAAAGTGGTCCCTAGTCAACAGCTAGCCAGAAAATGGAGTCCTCTATCCCATAGCCACAAGAATCTGTATTCTGCAACTGTGGCGCCTGGTTGGATCGCAGACACAGCTGGCAGCCTTGAATGTGCTCAGCTTATGAGACCGTGAGTCGAACATCAAGTCCCCTGGGCACAGACTGTGGGCACACAGAAGCCATGACGTCACGAGCAGTTGTTACTGGAGTCTATGGCAGGCTATTCTTTAGACCCCGAGCCCTGGCTCGTGCTGGGCTCCCAACCAGGGCTTCTGCCCCTCTGTGGATCCAACCTGCAGGGCCTTTCCTCAGTGATTGCTAAGGTCTGCGCCAGCCCTATCTACAGCAGGGGCTTCTGGCTGACTAGGTAGTGAGGGAGAAACAGCTGACTGGGTGTAGTGGGGCCCGAGGGCCCCTCACCTGGAGGACAGAATTCCAACACAGTTCCAGATAGGGACAGTACTGAGGTGGTAGGGGTGGGAGGCTCCCAGCAGGGTAGTGGTGAGGGTTATCAGCACTGTCGCTAACACTGGGCTGTTGGTTCTAAGTTAGAGAGGACCAGAGACACGAACCAGCCATAAGGAAGACGGGAGGGGGCCAGGCTGCATTCCGAGATGGAAGAATAAGTCAGATGCATCTGAACCCAGGGAGTCTGAGGAGATGTTAGGTGAGGGAGGCCTGGCGGGAGCCCCAGCCAGCCAGACCATTGCCTTAAGGGAAGAGTTAACCTCAAAGGCACACCCACCTTGTGGAAAAAGGAGCAGAACTCGGGGGGGGGGGGGGGCCCTTGAGGTCTCACAGCCCCTGGGAGGGGAACCCATCCAGACTGGCCTCTCCCAGCTGCCACCTTATCCCCACAGACCTCTCCCTGATGGCCCATTTTCACGGTAGTCATGGCCTGTACCTGTGATGGAAGCAGCCAGTCTGTGGGGCCTACAGCCTCAGTTTCCCTGGCTTCTGGGGGAAACAAATCCAGCCCAGGGTCCAGGCAGGCTGGAGGCTGCCCCCAATAGGCAGATTCTAATCTTGTTCACATTTATAGCTCATCCCTTAGCTTCCCTGGGCATTGTTATCTATGACTGGCAAGGGAGTGGTCTGGCTTATCTCTGGGGCCATCCACAGGGTGCCATTGGGAAGGTGGGCTCTGGTCTGTCCAGTCCCGGTTAAGTATAAGTTGGAATGGGATGTCCACTGTCTGGAACCCTCCAGTAGCTTCAATCACACCATAGCCCAGAAGACTGCCTATGGACTCCCTGAAGCAGATCCACTTGTCCTCAAACCTCCATCTAGACTCACCTCCTCCAGAAGGACCCCACCCACTCCTAGACACCTCCCACCTGCCATTCATCCCAGATGCCTGCCCCCACCCACTGGCCAAATCCCTAGCAGTCAGGTGAATTCTACCTGCCCCAGACACTGCCACATAGGGATCTAGTGATCACTGGCTGGGCACAGGGAGGACACAACAGAGAGTCCAGGCCAGCCTTTCAGAGGCAAGATGGTCAACCCTTTGGCCTCCAACATGGGTCTACAAAGTAGGGTCCTCAGGGATGGAGGCAGGCGGAGCCAGAGGGCCACAAAGTAGGGTCCTCAGGGATGGAGGCAGGCAGACACTGGTTGTTCCAGAGGAGAGGCAGCAGCGACTCTGGCCCTTCTCAGGTGGGAGTGGCTCCAGGCCTCTGGAAAGGTGGTCAGAAGCTGATGCCCAGCTTCGTTGGAGGGAATAGGCACCATAAGGCCCATTCTGTGCCATAAGACCTCAGCTGGGGTCAGGGAGCCAATGCTAAGGCAGGGAATGACTTCCTGTTTGAGAAGGGTAATCCTGGTTGGCTGCCTTAAGGCATGAATGGCAGGTAGCTGGGCTTTGCTGGGGTAGTCCCTCCTTTTTCCCTCCCCAGGACTTGTCCTCCCATTCCTGAGCCACAGGCTGAGAACAGAGCTGTGACTCACCCCACCCCCAGCGCCCCGGTGCTTAATCCCACAGGAAGTGGGGCATCTGTCGGCAGCAGCTGCCACCCGGAGCCCAGCCCCACACGGTTGGGGCTGCAGGGTGGGGGCACAGGGTGCATGCGCTCCAGAACCAGCCTGAGAACCCCAGGTTCCGGCTCAGATTAGGAGCTGAGGTGGGTCCACCAACACTCTTCCAGTCCTGTGCTGGAAATAAGGAGGAACCCAGCTTGCTTGCACACCCCCAGGGGTAAGGTTCTCATTCTCCCTAGCAGCCTGTCTCATTCCCTTGACCACACTGGCAGCAGCCCACCCTGCCAGGCCCCCTCACCTGTATGTGGCAACCCGGCGTAGATCGGAGGGGACCAAGTGGTAACCACATTCTTCCCAAGCCTCCTTGCAGGCTACTTCTTCCAACGAGAGCCCAGGCTGGTCCACGATGCCGGCACAGAGTTCAACCATTACCCCCACCGAACCAGGCAATGCTGGCTGTAGCTCTTGGGGCTGGTCCTGATCCACAGCTGCCAGAGACCCCGGAAACTGGTGCTCTACCTCGTTTGCATACACAGCTGCAGGGGGAGGGGGCATGGCCACATGGCGGTCACCTCTGAGGGATCTAGTCTGGTCCAGGCACCCCTTGTTGGCCCTCGGTTTTCCCTAGAGCCACCCCTCCATCAGCATCCAGACCCTCAGGATCAAAGGCCTGAAAATACTAGACCCACCCACCTCCCCACCCAGCTGGTCTCACCTGGCCGGAACTGCTTCACCAACACCAGGCTTTTCTGGGAAGAGTTGAACATGAGAATAGTCACACTGCATGTGGGGGAACACAGCTCAGTAAAGACACACACCCCTCTCCCCAAAGCACCAGTCCCCATGCTCCGGTGTCCAACGTGTCTCGCCCCTCTCCTTGACAGCTTAGGAATGGTGGCCCCTTGCTCAGATGGCATGTCCACACAGTCAGATCAGGGCCCTGACCTGCTATATTCTGGCTGCAGACAGGGGTGGGGGACACAACATGTTGGGCAGCTGGGGAAGTGGAGGCCCCTGCTGGCCAGTTTCCCACCTGCCACACCCCCAAACCATGTTAGCTCATGCCTCAAAAGCTGAGGAGTAAGGATGGCAGGTCTCTCTTCAGCCACAGGAGAGCCATTCTGCCACCAGGGGCCAGGTGTCCCAAACCACCACCAGGTCCCAGTGACACCCTCCTCCCCAGGGACATGAGAACCAGAGACTGGGTTAAGCAGGGAGATGTTTGATGACTGAGGGGAGCAGAAACTGGGGGGCTTCCCCAGTCACCAGGCCAATCCCTCCTCACCTGTCATGTGTCTTCATGAAGTCCCAGGACTTCTGAGTACCATTCTGAAAGAGGCAGGACAGCAATCAAGAAGGGTGAGTGGCTGCCAGGACAGGAGAGACACAGGCCAGAGAACCCGGTGCAGTAGCTCCCCAAAAGAAGGCCTGCTCCCTGCCTGTACCCCTCAGGAGCGCACACCTGCAGCAGGTGAGACGGAGGGAGGTTGCCAAGGAGGTCAGGGTAGTCTGATGTTCTGGGAAGGGAAGGAGAAGGCAGGAAACCTGGGCAAAGGGCAGGAAAGGCATGCTGTAAAGGGCAGAGATGTACACTGCCACCAAGTGTGGGAAGGAGCGAGGGGGATAAGGAGCGGGTGTGACACCAGGGCAGGGAGGGTCTCAGATGGGTAGAGTAGAGGTCAGTTGTTCAATGGACAGAAGAACACAGGAAGGCAGGAAGGGCCAGGCAGCCTCCTGGGTCACCACTGGCACCAAGGGTGCTTCTACTGCGGGACTTGTGCATCTGACGAAGGCACACAGATGGTAAACCATCTGCCCCACACCATTTCAGGCTCAGGCCACCTCTTACACAGGTGATACAGGCTCTCTGTGTCCACCCAGCACTCAGGAAATGGATAGGTGGGTTCTGCAGCGGAGCACAGACAGAATGGATGTGGACGGGGTTAAGGGGGGCCCAGCATCCCACCAGCTCCACACCACTGAGAAGGATGGGCTGCTGCTGGGGCATTGGAACCAGTAGTGGCTGTTTCTCCCTAAGGGTCCCTGCTGGTGGGGCTAGACCTGGAGCCTGCACAGGCCTGCCTGCTCAGTCCATCTCTGTCAGTCCTGTGCCCTGGCCAGCCCACCACAGATGCTGGGGCTCCATCCAAGCTGCAAATGAATCAGGGCCCGAGTCCCAGAGACAGTTTGTGGTAGAAGAGGAAGGACGTTGAGGAACAGCCACAAGGGATTTCTGAAATCAGCGCAGGAGTGGATGCTTCTGGTGGAGGAGCCTCACAAGGTGGAGACCAAAGCTTGGGAAGACAGACCTGAGCTGGGCAGGCAGACAGATGTGTCCTGGGAGGGTGGCCGCAACCTGGTTTCCAGGGGGAGGAGAAAGCTGATGTCCTGGGCAGGTCAGGCTGCCCAGGAGGCCGTTAGCACCACCCTGTGAGGCGAGTCTGGGCCTGTCTGACATCCCGCCACCCAGCCTGGCTCCAAGGAAGGCTACCCGCCCAGCCTGGAAGCATGCTGTGCCGCCTCCCTCAGAGTAAGTATCACCCTGTGAGGCAAGTCCCAGGGACCCTCTTGACTTAAGGTCAAACCCTTTGTCAGAGCTGTGGGGAGGACCTGAGAAGCCAATGCGGGCACTGAGAGGAGGGACAGGCCTCAGGAATAATGGTAGCTACATGCTGCTCAGGCCATAGGGTCCCTGCTTTTGGTCTCTCTGTCTACCAGGGCTTTTCTGGCCAGGTTGCAGAGATGGGCTGTAGAGGTCCTCTACTCATGGCAAACATTGCCCACCCAGCATCCCTCAGTCCCTGAAGAAATTCTGCCTGCTGAGCTGAGGTCTGGTTACCAACACCATCAGCGGAAATGTGCTGCTGGGCCGTAAGCCAAGTCTGCAAAGCCACCCCACAGCACTTCCTAGGAAGTGAGTGGAGAGTGCTGCAGCCACTGGCCTACCAGAACTAGCCTGGACCACCGTGCTCCCACCACAGTGCCCACCAGAGCCCCAGGCCCCGGGTGCAAACAGCTACAATGGCCATCCCACATCACCACCGGCGAAAGGGAAAGGGGTGTGACCCCCATGTCCCCACTTTTTTTTGAGACAGAGTCTCACAATGTAGCCCTGGCTGACCTGGAACTCACTTGCTATATAGACCATGCTGGCCTCTCCTCCTGAGTGCTGAGATTAATGGCCTGCACCACCAGGCCATACTGGTCCCCACCTTTTGCCCCTCAACTGAACCCAGCTGCTCCCCCAAATCTGTACTCCCCTTGGCTAGACCCTGAGAGAGGCATTCCCTAACCTGGGTGGCCAAAAGGACTGTGACAGAGTGACGTGTGAGGGACATGGGGTTTATCAGGCTGGGGGGGGCAGTCACAGGATCTGATAGGAAGGGAGGGGTGCTGTGCAGACACCCAAAGCCCCGGGTGCTTTGACCTGACTGAGACCCAGGCAGCAGCTGCACTGAGCAGGTCAGGAAGGCCCCATGCATATGACAGCATGGAGAGTCAAGCCAGGGCTGTGGTAAGTCTATGTGCCAGAAAAAGGAGCCTCCAGGAGTATGGGTGCTGGCCTATCAGACAGGGCCGTGCGGGGTGAGGAGGGGGAGCCACCCTGCTTGGAGACCATGAGGTGAGAAAAGAGGGAAGAGGCACCAATTCAACCCAACAAATGCTTCCTGTGGGCCTACTATGTGCCACACAGTATGAGGCAGCCATGGCCCTGCTGTTCCCGGGAAACACCTGGGAGATCTGGAGGGCTGAGATGGAGAGTGGAGGTACCCTCCCCAGGAAAACCCCACCTCGGAGACTCCCTCTTCTGCCTCCTCCCTCTCAGCCTCAGCGCCAGGCTCCTCCCTGTCCGGCTAACTCCTCCTGAGGGAGGCTACAGCCCCCAGCAATCAATGGGTCCAGCTGCATAAAGGATGCATGGGATGGTCAGGAATGGAGGCCCAGACGACCTGCCCAGAGTCTCCGCGCACGTCCGTCCGGGGCCTTTGGGGATCACTAGGCACGCGAATCTGCGGACAGGCCTGGAGGAGGGTGGGGCTCGCACTCAGAGAGGGGCGTGGCTGGCCGCGGGGCGGAGCCTCGAGGGCTAGACGGTGGGCGGGCCCGGCCTTGAGTGGGCGGGGCCTCGGAGCGGGGAGCCGGGCGCAGAGCGCGGTCTAGGGGCGCGGGGCTGGGGCGGCGAGCGTGGAGAGCGTGGAGCGCGCGGGCGGGCGGGCGCGGGGCTCACCTGGCGGTAGTACAGGGTGAGCGGCCGCAGGTAGGGCGAGCGCGCGCAGAGGCCTACGGCCACCCCCTCGATGCGCTCCATGGTGGCTCGGGCAGAGTCCGACCTGAGCTGGCAGACGCGTCACAGCGCCTCTGGGCATGCCCAGTCCCCGCGCGGGGCGGGGCGGGGCGGGGCGGACCCTGCGCCCAGGTAGCACCTGCTGGGCGCCGGGGAGGCGCTGTCTCGCCGGAACGTGGGCTTCGAGCGACTGAAAGAGGGCCGAGCCACGGGGCGGGAGGGGTGGATGAGGGCTTCGTGGTACGGGAAGGGGGAGCCTCGGGGAGGGGAACCCAGCGGATGCCTGCCCATCCAAGGTTGGTGACATCCCCGAGGTGAGGTCCTCCTAGGATGAGCAGGTGGGCTTACAGCCCTCCTGAGCGGAATCTCCAAAGCCCGAGGTTACAGTCCTAGAGGGTTCGGGAGATCACTGGGGCGCAGGAAGGGGAGGGTAAACTCCGAGCCTGAGAAAAGGCCGGAGGATGTGGATACGAGAAGGGGGCCCCCAGCCGAAGCAGAGCCTGCCTGTCACCTCCAGGTTCCTGAGATAGGAGCTGGCCTGGGATGGACGGACACTGCTGTCTGTTTGGGAAAAAGTGCCACTTCCTGTCTCCCTCCTCAGAGAGGCCATGATGTTCCTTGCCACACTGCACACATGCACCCACACAGGGCTGCAGGCCCCATGTCACACTGTCAGTCCAGCTGCAGCCAAAGTCAGAAAGCATGAGCCACTGCAGATTCAAGAGGTTGGAGTCGAGGGAGCCTCACAATGTGAGACATGGTTCACAGAACCATCATCTAGGGCTAGCCATCACACATACACACACACATACCCCACATCCTAGGGCACTGTGCTTTCCAGCTCTGGTTTGGCCACCTAGTGTCCTGGATGTCAGAATGACCACCCACCCACCATGAGCCCCTTTCAAAGTACACCCCAGTTAAGTACCCTATGGACATCTTCCTCCTGTTCCAGGGCAGGTCGACAGTGCAGACCAGTCCCAGGCTCCACCAGCAGCTTAGGCAAAAGTGGGAGTCAGAGGGCCTAGTGTTACTGGCTAGGGGCTACCTGTACTCAGCCTGCCCACTTGGGCCTGCCCAACAGTAAGAAGATTCTGGAAAGAGGTGGGAGAAAGTCACTTTTTCCTGTTAGTATAAGCTGGGGTGGTTTGCTTCCCAGGGGTTCTGGGATCTGTGGGTCCCAGCAGGGGGCTGCCTGTGTGGGCGAGCAAGATACCTGTCTGTCCAAGGGGCTTTGGCCATGGTCCAGAGTGGTGGCTGATAAATGGGTGGTCCCAGTCACCATGGGAGCTCAAATGGAGGTGCCTAGCTAGAAAGGGACTTGTCTCTGCATACTCAGAGAGCATTCCTTTAATCCCAGCACCTGGGAGGCAGAGGCAGGTGGATCTCTGTGAGTTCAAGGCCAGCCTGGTCTACAAATCGAGTTCTAGGTCAGCTGGGGGCTACAGGGAGACACTGTCTCAAAAAAAAAAAAAAAAAAAGGGACTTGTCAGGAAGAGGAATGATGTTGTCCAGTGTCCCAGGCCTCGAGGCCACATGTGTTTGGCAAGGTGGGGGCTCCAGAAACCCCACTGAGCACATCTCTAGGACAGTGAAAACAGCACAAGACACCAGGCCATGACCCCATGTCAGGCCCTTACTGCTGCTGGCAAGGTTGCAAGGCAGTGCCCCTGGTCAGGGTTCAGGTGTCTTGAGACTGGTCCCTTGAGCTCCTAGAGGGGTCCAAATCCTAGTAGAGGTAACTTCCCATCCTTCAAAACCAACATTGTAGGTTACCTGCCCTCTGGCAGCTTCCTCCTCTCTCTTCTGGACTCTGACCCTCCTGCCTCTTCTCAGGATGCTGTGATCACATCTAGGTCTCCTGATGGCCAGGGCCACCCCCACATCAGGGTCCTCAAACAGTCACACCTACATCTTGTTGACACCCATGTGAACACACAGTAGGCACACATTGGGAGAGGCAGCCCACAGTAGGGCAAATCCTGTGTTCCTGCTGCTGTAGGACAAGGATGGCCTGGCCCCTGGTGGTTCTAGGATGGAGGATGCTCTTGGGCAGTGTCCAGTAGCCTGGGCACATACAGGTGGATGCTGGGTTCCTCCAAGGTTCTGCTTTTTCCTAGTGGGGTGTTGGGCAATCTGTGGGTTTAGAGACTTGAGGACACTGCATAAGACAGGGTGGCTGGAAATACAGTAAGTCAAGGCTGGGAGACCAGGTGACTCTGAAACACACAAATCTCCCTCCTCTGGTCACCTGACAGAACTGAGGCCCAGCCCCATCTTCCCAGTGTCAGGTGTGGCAGAGTAGACACAGCTGAGGGAAACAGCATCAGTGCCATCCCCTACCCAGGCATCAGACACACCCAGCACTGCATGTCTGGGTACAGAATCCTAAGAGAGTCACTTTGGCACTAGCAGGCTGTTCTGCGGCCTGACTGCCTCCAGAGGCTGCTTCCACTCACCTGCAGGCCACTGAGGTGTTTGTGTGACCTCACTTCTGTCCCCCTGGTCCTGGAAAAGACCACAAGTGCTGTGTTGGCAGCATCTTCCAAGAGCCCCTGTGTTTGCTTGTGGCTGCCGGTCTGGAGTTTCTGAGAAGCTGGAGATGTGAGTGAGGTCAAGGTGATGCCCGGGATTGGAAGAGGTGCAGCACTGGACAGAGTGGATGGAGCCCAGGCTGGTGACGTTCTCTACCTGCCTGCCTACCTTTTTGTGTTCGTAGTTTTCCAGAACAGATTCCCCCAATCCCTGACTCTTCTCAGCCTTTTTGAGGGCCTTGCTAAGTAGCCCAGGCTGGCCTGGAATTCTTTATGCATCACTCTGCTGTACTTACCCTCCCGCGTACTGAGACTTGGTAGACGTGGCCCACCACACCGGGCTTAGAACAGATTTTTTTTTAATTGTTAAAAAACTTTTAAATCAGGTGTGGTGGCCCATACCCTTAATCCCAGCACCTAAGAGGCAGGCAGATCTCTGTGAAATGGAGCCAGCCTAGCCTACATAGTGAGTCCCAGGCTACTGGGGCTGCAGGGAGATCCTGTCTCAAAAAAGAAATTTTGTGGAGTGATGGCTTAGTGGTTAAGAGCACTGGCTGCTCTTGCAGAGGACCCAGGTTTGGTTCCCAGCACCCACATGATTGATGGCTAACTGTCTGTAACTCCAGTTCCAGAAGATCCAGTGCCCTTGTCTGGCCTCCATGGGCATTCAGGTAAAGCATTCATACACATAAAATAAAAATATAGTTTTTAAAATTTGGGACGAGATGGCTCAGCAGGTAAAGGCACTAACCACCTGACAATGCCATCCTGAGGGTCTGGGTTCAATTCCTGGAACCCACATAAAGGGGAAGAAGAGAACTGACTCCACAAAAGTTGTCCTGACCGCCACAGGTACACTGTGGCATGGTCACACTCACACACACACACACACACACACACAGACATGGGGGGGTGGAGATCACACTAATAATTTTAAACTAATTTTTTAAAAGATTTTACTTATTTTTGGCCTGGCATGGTAGCACATGCCTTTAATCCCAGCACTCAGGAGGCAGAGGCAGGCAGATCTCTGTGAGTTCAAGGCCAGCCTGGTTTACATAGCGAGTTCCAGGACGTCTGGGGCTACAGGGAGACCCTGTCTCAAAAAGACAAAATAAATTTATTTTTATTTCATGTGCAAGAATTTTGCCTGCATGTATGTATATGCACCATATGGGTGCCTGGTGGCCAGAAGAGGGCATTGAACCCCCTGGAAATGGAGTTATAGCCGGTTGTTAGCCACCGTGTGGGTGCTGGGAGCCAAACATAGATCCTCTTAAAGAGCTGCAAGTACTCTTAACCACTAACCATCTCTCCAGCCTCCTTAAAATTTGTGTGTGTGGTGTATGTGCACCGTGGGTGTGGGTACAGATGCCTCCAGCTTTGTATCTCTGTTACTGTTTTCCCTATTTGTCCTGTCTCCCCACCCCACAAGAGTTGGGATTACAGTGACTTTTATACGGTCAGGACCTGAACTCAGGTTCTGTACTTGTGTAGCAAGCACTCTACCCACAGAGCTATTGTTCCAGCCCCTCAGATTTCAAGAGGAGGAATGGCCTCAGGCTCCCTGAGCAGAGGCCCTCTGGGGTGTGCCCCTTGCTCTGCCAGGGACTCTGAAGAGCAACTGCAGGATTCTTTAGGGTTAAGCATGAAGGCCACAGAGAGCTGGGGTGTTGTCTAGGTCTTCTGGCCCATGCACCTGAGCAAGGGCAGGTGTGGTGTTTTACTGTGGGGTGGAGGCCAGGCCTTTGGTCTCCTCTTACTACGGGGTATTTCTAGGGACAGTGGGTGTCTACAACAAAAGAATTAAACTGGCACCCTGCCAGACCCCAAACAAAATTAACTCAAAGGAGTCAGAGGCTTGACCTAGGAGCCAATGTTTAGTCCCTTAGAAGAAAACAGGACAGAAACTCATGACATTCAATTTGTCAGTGGCAACCAAAGGAAAAATATAGATTGGATTTAATGAAAACGAAAAACTTATTTTAAATATTTTATTTTATTTGTATGAGTGTATTTTGCCTGCATGTATGTGAGTGCACCCATGTTGTGCAGTGCCCACAGAGGTCAGAAGAGGATGTCGGATCCCCCAGAACTGGAG